AAAAAAAAAAAAAAAAAAACATGCGACAATAGATACGACAAGAAACAGCTTTTAAAGCTTTGCTGCATCATGAAAATATAACAAATCTCGAATATTTCTGAATGCACAATACGACATTTTCAGTTATCATACGACAATTTCAGTTATCCAACCAACCAATCATACTAACCGAAACACATTATCCATAAATCTAGTCAATATCCAATTAGAACCAATACGAAGCCAGAATCTAATAACCAATCATAAACCACAGTCTATTATTTCAACATTCAAACGGAAAATAACCAATCATAAACCACATTTTATTATTCAACATTCAAACAGAAACACAAACTCAACTGAATCACCTGATGATTAATTAAGTGTCGTATGTAGTTCAAACAAANNNAAAAAAAAAAAAAACAACCAAACAAAGAGAGATAGTAGAGTAAAGGCATCAACTCATGTTTAAGATTTGTTTCCTTAATCATAAATCTTAATTCGGTGATTTTAATCACGAAAGGGCGGCAACTTTGACAATAAATGAACAATAAACAACACGACTACATATCCAACCGAGATAGTTTCAAAGAGTATACACAAAGTTAGCTGAATTACAAGAAACTCTACCGTTCAAAACGATGAAACCCCTCTAAAAAATGATATGAACTATACTTTTACTGTACGTTTATACCCAAAAAAGATCCCCTCTTGCGATCAAGAAGTAAAATAGAAACGATCAATCAAGGGAGTGTCTGTTATTACAGAAGACACCCGGATATTCGAAATTAGGCTAAACCTCAAGCTATATGAATCTGTTATGAGCTCCAAACATATAAGATATATAAAAAATATCCAAACAAAACAAAGGGATTAGATGATCACCTTAGGCCACCGCCGCTAACCGGAGCATCATCGACATGGACTTTGCTCGATGATTGTGACAACACTGAATTCAGATAACCCATGTTGCCCAACTTTTAATCTTTGTTACAAAAAAATTATGGCTTTTCAATCTTTCTTACTGTTATTACAGGAGAATTACCCACCTAACCTATTTTTTTTAGCCAAGAAAAGAATTCTAACCCTAAAAAGGGGATTTTTTTTTTTTTTTCTTCTGTTTGTCTGAAAATGTTGAAATTAAGCAAATATTAGGAGATCACACCACCACAAAAAACTAAGGGCAATTTCAGTTCCAATCCAACCTGCTCATAACACAACAATCAGAAAAATATTTCAGAAAAAAATTAAAAAAAAAAAAGGGAAATCACAAATCAAGTTTCATTTTCTTGGAACAGATCTGATAACCATGGCGATAAATAGCAAGCCCTGAAAAAGGACAGAAAAGACATCCATCTTTTTAACATCTCAAAACTGTACAAACCCATTTTCCTATTATTACGATAG